GTTAGTCAAGACCAATTTTTATTCACAGAGTAAGCTAGAAGCTGAACTTCTCTCCTACCTTTTCGTTATGAAAAGCAGACTGTATTTCAAGAGGTGAACTTCAGCCATGTGTTCTGTTTTTAAAGTTTGTTGTACGTTTGTTAGTTTTGATTCCACCCCCCACCTCCCCAAAAAACTGTTGCAGGAACCAGCCACTATGACAAGGTGTCTATAGATCGAGAAGCAAGTGTTGCTGCACTAAAGCATGAAGGTGCAAATATTTTCACCCGCTTTTTGTTTCAGGCAGCCTCACCGCCTCCCACACACAGCATTTCACTTCAGCACTGTTTTAAATTGTAAAATACCTATATTGCTGTTTGGGCTTTTGGGTGGCTCAAAAAGTAGTTTTGTGTTACCTTTTGAGAAGGAAGTGTTCCCCTCCAATCAAAAAATTATCTGTAGTACACATTGATGGGCAGCTCCCCCCTCCGAATCTTCATTCAGAATGAACTTAGTTAAACTGAATTATTTGCTCCGCAAAATCACCAAGATCAGCTCCAGCCATACTCCCAATGTCTTCGTTTGCTGCACGACCTAAACAGCCATACCCCTCTGTGGACCTCGAAGACCCCTTTACAAACCCCTCAAATTTAAGGAGGCAATAAGGACGGCTGGAGCCAGTGTTTTTATTACACCCTAGAACGCTGCATCAGAACCTCAGGCCTCAAGTCCCTGGGAAATGAAATTTCTGAGGGTCCTTAAGAAGAACTCAATCCCACTGAAAGTTCTTCCTCTTTGCACTATGGAGGCCTCCAAGCCATTCTTCTCTGCTGCCGCTGCCCAGTAGATTTGAACTGGAAGAGAAATGGGCAACTGTAGCTGGGACTGGTAGGGCCTAGTGCCAAGTCCATTAGGTGCCAGACATGCACTGTAGAGTGATTTTGGATTTGTATTGAGCATGAAACTTCTGAACTTCGGAAGTTAATTCTTGAGTGCCCATATATATATATATCACTACAGTTGTCTTGCCCATAGCTTTCAAACTTTGCAGTATTCAAATACAGTGCTGTCTTATATGAATTCAATGCTATGTTACTGAAAACCTGCCTTAAACTTTGGTACTTGATTATATCTGTGTTTGTTTTCATGAAGAATTACAACCTTTGCATGATGTCATAGGGTCCTGGTTATTAATAACTTGTGTTTTTCCCATTAGCAAATAAGATAAGATTTAAACTTCCAACAGCAGCAAACTCTTGTCATTACAGATTACAATACAGTAATCACTTAAATGATTCCCCCCCCCCTTTTAAAATTCTGAAATATATTTTGCATTTTCACTTTGGGAAACTTTAGCAACTCCCTTGGAGTGTAATGTACTTCAATTTTTTGCAGCCTAATAATTATTTTATAAATATCAGAAGTGCACTGCACTTAATTCTTTAGCTGAAGGCATTATATTCAGTTTCTGTACACTGCTTCGAGCTTGCTCCATTTAATCATTTTAAAAGCTTAGTTGGTGTAAATTGAATTTAACACTGTAGTTGCAAGGGTGTTATGTAAAAAGTCCAAAAGGAGCGCTTATGGCACAGGATCTTATTGATCTTAAACTCTCTAGCACCCTCTGTTGTCATGTACAAGCAATATCAAGTGTATTATCTTCTTTAACAACCGGATAGCCATCAGATTTATCAAAGTATGTTTGACGCAGATCTTTCAAATATGTACTTTGTCGTTTGCATAATTTAGCAAAAGTTACATTTTTTAACTAAATCAAGCTTTAGTTTCTATCTTACTGCGTTCATCAAATGGCGACATTTTGATTTGTTGTAGCCTTTGAAAAACACTCACTCTGTTTTGTGTGGGGTTTCTTTTAAAGAGATGCTCAAATTCTGCAGATTTCATATACATGAGCTTCAGGAGTAAAAATTGTCTGTTTTCTGTATACCCTGAAATTGTTACTGTACTGCTTCAAAACAGGAAGAACCTGAAATTGTCCGTACTAAAATTAAGAATTTATAACTGTAAGGAACAGATGTTTTCATAAACATTTGCTATAATTAATTTCAACAGGGGGATTGGAGGAACAAAGCAGTTGCTCCCTTCTCTAAACTTAAATGCCTTTTTCCCATACAGCAAACCCAGAAATCTTTTCTTTAATACTGTTAATGAAATAAATTTACTTCTCTGTTTGTTTTTTACAATGAAAAAGAAAACATTAATTTTGCATTGTATTCTAATCTTTGAAATGGTGGGAAAGCATTCTGTAAACAGTGACATTATTTATCTTAGATAAGTCTTTTTTAAAAAAATCAAACTGTTACATAAAGGGTCTCCTTACTACTATGTTAGTAGTATTATATAAAGAGGTAAAAATCATGGGACATATTACAGTATATGGAATAGTGTTGTATATTGAAGCTTTTTATATTTAGCACCAGTATCTTATTTTTTTTATTTCTTATTTTTTGGTGGGTGATATATTTTGAGGGAAATATCTGTTATCATTATTGCTGATTTTTTTTAATGAGTAAATGTGCTATATTCTAATAATATGTGTATTCTGGCCTCCAAGTTGTTGTTAATTGAATTTATACCCTACCTTATGACCTCAGCAATTTTCTTCCAAAGGCCATGATTCAGAAGAAGTACATATTAGCAACCACATTTGAATATTATGTTTACTGTTGCTACAGAGAGGGGAAAAATATCCACTTACCAGAATCTTCTTTACCATCTTTGATGGCAATTTATTTTCCTCACTATTTCTGCACTTTATAAAAATACCGCTTAATTGAGAGAGCATTTTTTTAAAAAAAGTTTTAAAATAAGCACAGCCTAATTGTTCTACACCTGAAAGCTCTACTGCAGCTGCAAGAAATTTTGAGCAAACCAGTATTCTTGACTGATCTGTCATCTACAAAGTGTGCAAAGAAAAATAGGTAGCTGTCATTAAAATTACATTTCAGCTTTCAATAACCATTTAATGAGTAGTGTAATTATATAAGTATGGTACCTCAAGTACTTCACTCAATAATTAAAAAATAATCTCATCTTTAAAGTGAAAGCTCTAATTATTATTTGACTTAACCAGGACCACTGTTATGATCTCCAGTGGCATCTCAGAGTGTTTTGAAGGTATAAATTAAAGCTGAATAAATCATTAAATTATTAAGCTTTAAATATGCTAAAATAAAAGTATGTGGTATTTTAAAAATATGCTACTGCAATTTGTAACTTCATAATGTAAGCAAATTCTTCTCTATTACTTTTTTCTTCTCAGAGATCACAAATTATGCACTTTTAAATATATATATATGCATATGATTTAGTCTTTAGAGCAGAAACTGGGGGTGATTATTACCAAGCATTAACCATGAAAACATGATTTAATGCAGTTCTAGTTTCTTAGCAGTAATGCATCATTTTATTTATAGGCTGGGAAGATAGAAATTTGAACTACAAAACATTTTGTCATTCAAAGCAAAATCCCTTTTCTCATATTTTCCATTTGTACAAATATTGTCAGCCAGCCACCGTATAGGGTTACAAAGTGCGGTCATATCTAGTCTTAGCTGAAAGAGTGGTCATATCTAATCTTAGCTTAAATAAATGAATATCATTTCTTTCTCTGCATGATCCCATATTTAACCACCAAAGTATGTGGATAAGTGTTTGTGCGCTACACGCTTTCACCATATGGTAATTGACATGATTGCAGCACTTCTAAGCAACTGCACCTATGACTGCGGAAATCACTTCAATTTTAACATATGTATCATAAAACATTGCACATTTCTGCATGTGATTCTGTATCCCATGGCTATAATTGCATGCCACAATATATTAATTGGCATTCAGAAGAACATGCATGGCGATCTCATAACAAGGTATTGGTGTTGACAGACCAGAAACATATAATAGTGACTACTCTAATCCCTATTCATGGAGGCAGTACCATTATATCTTGGGCCCACAAGATTTCACTGCTCATGCCTGCATCAATAAGCCCTTGTATTTTTGGCAGAAGATAAGCCAAAACCGAAGCTCCTGCAGCCAATCAAAAGCCCCGTCGGACGTTTGGCTTCCAAAAATAGTTTGCAAACCGGAACTGTCACTTTCGGGTTTGCAGCGATCGGGAGCCAAAACGTTTGAGCACTAAGCTGTTTGAAAACCAAGGTACAACTGTGCTTATCGGATAGAGAGCTGATCAAGAATATAAAACTCAATTTATTGGGAAACAGAGTGTGAACCTATAGGAATAAGTCCCATTTCACTCAGTGGGGCTTATTTCTGGGTAGACTCCTTCTGTTATGGCTTCCCCCAAGAATCATTGGAACTGTAGTTTACTAAGAGGCCGAGAATGGTTAGGAGACCCCTATTTCTCTCCCAGAGCTACAGTTTGCAGCATGGTTTAAGAATCAACCCCTCTTCCCATGGAACTCTGGAAATTGTAGCTCCGTAAGTAGAATAGGGTTCTTCCAGCACCCTTAGCAAACTAAATTTCCCAGAATTCTTCACGGGAAGCCATAGCTGTTTAAAGTGGTATGATAGATATCGTGTCAATATGGGATTGTACTGCATGGCACCACAACCCCACTTTGGGGTCTAATTTTATATCTTGGATTTTACATAAATTGCACTAAGTCATGCCTTTCCTTGGATGCCTAAGAAATTTATTAATGGTTCACACACACATGTCTTGGCGTCTTATAGCTGAATTTGTGTCAAAATTTTGTTACTTTGATCTTTGATTATCACTTCTTGCCTAGTCATTAAGTGATGTCCATGCATGTGTAAACCAGCTGCTAGACCCTTCATAGTTGGGGCTCAACTAGTGCATCTCCTCTGTATTTTTTTCCTTCACATTGATGAACTTAATCCATACATTTTGAGAGACAGATTGCATCAGGGTTGATTCAACTCCCAGTGGTCCAATCTTACTGTGCAAAGAGCTGGTACTTCTGTACATCCATGCCACTCTCCTTTAACCTGCTAAAAACCTCTGTTTATCTTCCTAGATATGTCAAATGAGAATGGAAGACTGCATCATACTTCGGATTCTGATGGAACATTTCTTTCATATAGGTGAGAGTTTCTCATGCTTTCTGGCTTTTGAGAACTAAAATTCCAGTTCAACAATATATGAAATCATTTTTGTCAGCATTTAATTTGAATTTCTTCCTTTAACTTACTTTTGCGAAAAGCCCTGTGCCAGTCTCTGGTGTGACTCCAGAGACTGGAGGACATTTCAGGAAATACTGTATGCTGAAGTCACACCAGTGATTGGAACAGATTTCATGGTGTGTGGTAATTTCATTTGAAGGAAGCTCTCTCTCTCTCTACCACTCCATTTTTGGGTTAAAGTCTTTTTGTCTTTCCTAGAATCCTTACTCTGGAATTATCAGCATTTCCTGGCAAATTCTTCTTCTTTCTTGGCTAGTCACAGAAATTAGGATCAGCTTTTATTTGTACTTGTCTGCCTAGAGCTACTTAGTTTACTTAGACTTTTTAAAATTCCATATTAACTCAATACAAATAATTTTTAGACCTGTGATCATGGCTGGCTCCATATTTGAGAGCATAGTGTCCTCTAACAGGTCCCCTATCCTGTCAATGACACATGCAGGCTTTCCTGGCTACAGTAGCACCACTCCAAATACCGCTGGGTTGCAGAGTCTAGGACAGGCATGACCAAACTTGGCCCTTCAGATGTTTTGGGACTACAATTCCCATCATCCCTGACCACTGGTCCTGTTAGCTAGGGATGATGGGAGTTGTAGGCCAATAACATCTGGAGGGCCAAGTTTGGCCATGCCTGGTCTAGGAAGTAATTTAATTCCCCACAATTAAAGCAGTGCTGGATCAGGAGCATTGTAGGTGGATCCAGTTGCTTGGTGCTGATTGGATTGCCAGTACCTTGCCAAGGTACAGAGGACCTGTCAAGAATGACAGGTCCTGATGCCAGCTCTGCCTATCATATGAACCTGAACTGCAATCCAAGAAAGCCATGGGTTACTCATTGACTGTTGACCATGCAGAAATTTGGTGTTTTCAGAAAGAATTACAATTGTTTGCAATGGCTGAAGGCCTTCTGCTGGAGTATCATAAGCCCTGGTTTTACTTGAAGGTGGCATGTAACACTTGAGATTGGGGTCTTGGTATAAGTAACATCAAAGGGTGTTGCCTGGTTATACAGCCTTCATAACATTTTAGAGATGAATGCAATATTGAATAAATGTTTTGAAGTATCTGGACAGAAACACTAGAAGAATCCATGAACACTGAGCATCTTTTGCACATCCAACAGATTTGTAGCATATGTTAGTTGACCTCTGAGAAAAGTTTTGTCTTTTACAAGAACAATGTTTCTGTGAGAACAGGAATTCCAAAACGAAATAGCTTCCTTGACTTCTCTGATTTATTTATTTTTAATGTTTGCTGTGTTAGCTTCCAAAGGAGAAAACAAGAGTTATGGTCTTGCCATCTTCAACCATAGATTACTATTTTGTCAAGAAGTAGAGACTCCAAAATATAAGTGACCGTAGGACTCTTAAACAGAGATGTAGAAGTTATTTGATAGACAGATGAGTGACAGGATACAACAGCACACATTGAATTTTGTTGGTTTAACAGTAGGTCTCATAGCACTTGATATGTATAATTAATGTCAAATTGGGTCCAACTTTCTGGATAATCAGAAAATAGAGACTTAGCCCCCCCCCCCGTCTAAATTCTGCTGATTGCCACATAGTCAGGTGCCATAGCCCCAAGGCTTCTTGGTTACAAGATCGCTGAATAATAATTGTGCTTTGAAAGTAAGTGATAAAGAACGACTTTGCTAAAATAATACTAAACCATTTTTATCATAAATCAGAGCTGGCCATTATTGCAGCACAGTATTAATTTATTGGTACAATTAGAAAGCGAAAATGATAGAGCTAGGTCATATGGTATATTAAAGAAGAAGAAGAAAGCCTTGGCTTTTAATAGTTGGCAGACCCGACACTGCTATTAAGTAGCATTACAGTATTTAAGGTGTGAAATGAATATTTTATTCTCAGTAAGAAGTAGCTCCAAACATATAATGAGGCTAGCTGCAAATTGTTTGGCTCTAAGTTCCAAATTACATTGCAAAGAACAGACAAGAACTTCATGAGCAAAAATGTGTGAATGTTAAACTAAAATATAGTTGTGGGGAAATGTAGTGGTTTAGAAAAAAGGAATTGACCAATAATCCATAACAGTGTCACCACAGCAACGATGGAAAATATATTGAAAATGTTTCTTTTCAAATTATTATATAATGAAGTCAAACTAGAAAGAAGCAATAGCTATAGTCATTTATGTATATGTAAATCTCATTGATTTCAGTGGAATTTATGAACATGCAACCCTGTACAGGGTTTTTAACAAAACAAAAGCAAAGCAGGAACACCTGTATTAAAAAAAACAAGAAATAAACCCCCACACATAACAGCTAAATGGCCAGGGGAAATAAAAAAGGTCTTTGCCTATGAGTAGAAATACATCAAACTCTGTCAAGTCAACCAAGTTCTTGTTGGAAGCCAACATGGAAAAATCCATCTTGTGGGTCTTCACGCACAGACATCAACCTCTGAAGGCAGGGGGACCTGAAGAAGACCCTCTCAGGAATATATTGAGTTGGCAAACTGCTGGTGGAAGAGGTGGATTGCTAATACTTGTAACTGCAAATATTACATTTGCTATAGGTGTGTGATTGCTAGAACCTCTAAATACAAAGCACAGTTAATAATTTGAGGAAATGAACTATCCCTTTTAATGACAATTTTTGCCCTTGATACTTCCTGAGAATGGTAATTCTCTTAGTCAGCAAATCGTGGGCTCCATCCTTAATGTTGGCAATACGGTGCCACTAGAAAGTAGAAATACTGTCTTTCTCTCCTTCCCAAGGGCAGCTGACCTTCTCCTCGCCAAAGAGTTGAACCTCTTGCCAGCACATATGACTACAGACTATTACATTAATCTGTTTAGCCGCAGTACCAGCTGCTTGCATGTTTTTAATTATCTTATTAGATGATATAACAGTGACCTATGAAATAAAATTGAAGGTGAGCATTTTTAACTTCTTTTATTTAACAGCTTTCCCCCAAAATATATACTAATGAATAACTGATTGGGGAGATGGGCAATTAGGCTTTTGTTTTTTACTCTGTAGAATCTAATTTTGAGGACAAAATAACTTAACTTTCTTTAAGGATTTGTTCTAACTACTATTAATTATATTTCACGTGTAACACGTATACCGGTAAGTATTAACATTAATATCCCTTGTTTTACTGAGTTATGATTTCGATGCATTATTTTGCATAATAGTCTACTAAATATTGACACCTCATGCTTTACTTAATATAATTTTGTTTCCAAATTATTTTTCTTCTTATTTCCTTGAAAATAGTTTACTAGCTTAATATTGCTCATTTAAATTGTGCCCGTATCATCCAAGTTAATAGTGCTTTGCAGAACTCTGTAAGAAAGACTTGTAACAGAGGGTGCTCAAGCTAATATGGATCTTCTTAAGATAATCTTTCTAGGATCAGGCAAATAAACAATGTGTATATAAGGTGGGAGGGGTAGATCAAGACAGGAATTGGTGACTGAATGGTGCAGCAGGCTTTCTACTTGCTTCTAGTTGGGGGTTGATTGTTTCACTCTTGTTCTAGCACTGTAAGGATGATTTTTTAGAAGTTCTTTCTGATACCGCTTAAGCATTATTTTCCATGTCCAGCTCATAACCAGTTCACACGTAACTCTAAGTCAAACCATGGCTAAGTGTGAACAAGCAAGTACACAGGCAGTCAGAGGAAAAATCATGGCTGCTTTGCTCCTCACCTAGTCTTGTTGCTATCATGCTACCTAGAACTTAGACTAGCTTGGCTTCGTACTACATCTAAACTCAGTTTTGTGGTTTGTCCTTGCTCCAAGCAAGCCACAAGTGTTGAGTCAAGAACAAGCCCCAGCTACAGTTTGCGTGAGACAAACCATAAACCTGAGTTTAAATGCAACACTCAGCCAAACGATGGCTTAGCTGCTTTTCTTTTCTTTCTGCTTGCTCATTCACGCTTCAACATCATGGTTTGTCTTACATGAGTTTCATGCCAGCATGAGACAAGAAAAATGTAAGAGAGGACCTGCTTCTTGAGTAGCTCAACAATGGGTCTCAGTGTTTTTCAATCAAGGATCGCTTATGCAACTGAATGCTAGCACATGTGAATGGAACTGTATTCATAATTATGTATATCCTTGCTGAGTAGATCCACTTGGTTTGCAAACCAGACTGAAAGCAATATGGTGTTTTCCTCTATTTTCTTAAAAGTGGAAGTGTTCCTGGAAATATTGTGGTCTTTATTTTGAAGGGAAATGAGCCATAAAAAAATTGTATATGCTTTCCTTTCAACCCTGCTCCTGGTGCAATGATCACAGCCATGTTCATTTTTAGGGGGCAGGAGTAGCAGAACCCTTCCATTTTAGGGTGCTGTTTGTTTCAGAGTGCTACAACTTAGGCAAGGGCAAAGCCAATAGATGTTTCTCCTCTCTACCTGTTTTATGTTTCCCTGTCCCATATAACCTTTTATGCTGGGTGACTAAGGGGTCGTCAGGTTTCTCTGTAGATCTAGATTTGTCACTTCCTTACAGCAAGTTCCCATGGAGATTTTTGCTCTGCTTGTTGTACATTGTCACAACCATCCACATTGGACTAGGCAGGGACTATTGCCAGCATAGGTCTCTTCCCTCCACTTTGTGGACCACAGCTTTCCACTTTTGCTTGCTTCTTAAAACCTGTGGTCCACAGAGTGGAGGAGAGCGATCTATGCTGGTTGTATAATTAGGAAGAGGACTGTATGCTACATCATCCATGTCACAGTATAAACACAAATTTCAAGCTGAAGAGAGAAGTGCTTGAGTTTTGGCATGTTTGTTGGAGGAATTACTCTTTCTGTCTCTCCCTTGTCCATATTTATTAAATTATTGCAGTATTTCCCTCCCAATTAAATGGACAGATTTAGTCTACAATTCCGAATTATCTCCAGGTGCATCAGAGAATG